TGTAAAATTGACTGGCACTGAAAACATTGTTGGATCATACAGTGCATTCGGAAAGTATTCAGACTCCTCGACTTTTTCCACTTTTTGTTACGTTACAGACTTATTCTAAAATTGATTAAATTGTTATTTTCTCTCATCAATCTACACACTACCCCATAATGATAAAAAAGCAAAAACAGTTTTTTTGAAATGTTTCCAAATGTATAAAAAAAAATATATATATATATATATATCACATTTACATAAGTATTCTGACCCTTTACTCAGTACTTTGTTGATGCACCTTTGGCAGCGATTACAGCCTCGAGTCTTCTTGGGTATCACGCTACAAGCTTGGCACACCTTTATTTGGGGGAGTTCCTCCCATTCTTCTCTGCATATCCTCTCAAGCTCTGTCAGGTTGGATGGGGAGCGTCGCTGCACAGCTATTTTCAGGTCTCTCCAGAGATGTTCTATCAGGTTCGATCGGTGCTGCAGAGATGGTTGTCCTTCTGGAAAGTTCTCCCATCTCCACAGAGGAACGCTGGAGCTCTGTCAGAGTGACCATCAGGTTCTTGGTCACCTCCCTGACCAAGGCCCTTCCCCCCCGATTGCTCAGTTTGGCCGGGCGGCCAGCTCTAGGAAGAGTCTTGGTGGTTCCAAACTTCTTCCATTTAAGAATGATGGAGGCCACTGTGGTCTTTGGGACCTTCAATACTGCAGACATTTTTTGGTACACTTCCCCAGATCTGTGCCTCAACACAATCCTGTCTCGGAGCTCTATGGACAATTCCTTTGACCTCATGGCTTGGTTTTTGCTCTGACATGCACTGTCAACTGTGGGACCTTATATAGACAGGTGTGTGTCTTTCCACATCATGTCCAATCAATTGAATTTACCACAGGTGGACTCCAATCAAGTTGTGGAAACATGTCCTCACTACATGTTCGTCGTCAAACCCACTGGCTCCAGGCCATCTATAAATCACTGCTAGGCAAATCCCCGCCTTATCTTAGCTCATTGGTCACCATAGCAGCACCCACCCGTAGTCTGCGCTCCAGCAGGTATATCTCTCTGGTCATTCCCAAAGCCAACACCTCCTTTGGCCGCCATTCCTTCCAGTTCTCTGCTGCCAATGACTGGAACGAATTGCAAAAATCTCTGAAGCTGGAGACTCTTATCTCCCTCAATAACTTTAAGCATCAGTTGTCAGAGCACCTTACCGATCACTGCACCTGTACACAGCCCATCTGAAATTAGCCCACCCAACTACCTCATCCCTATATTGTTATTTATTTTGCTCTTTTGCACCCCAGTATCTCTATTTGCACATAATCTCTTGCACATCTAGCATTCCAGTGTTAATACTATTGTAATTATTCTGCACTATAGCCTATTTATTGCCTTACCTCCATAACTTGCTACATTTGCACACACTGTATATATATTTTCTGTTGTATTTCTGACTTTATGTTTTTTTTTACCCCATATGTAACTCTGTGTTGTTTTTATTGCACTACTTTGCTTTATCTTGGCCAGGTCGCAGTTGTAAATGAGAACCTGTTCTCAACTGGCTTACCTGGTTAAATAAAGGTGAAATTAAAAAATTAAAAAAATAAACATCTCAAGGATGAGCAATGGAAACAGGATGCACCTGAGCTCAATTTCGAGTCTCATAGCAAACGGTCTGAATACTTATGTAAATAAGGTATTTCTGTTTTTGATTTTTAATTAATTTGCTAAAATTTCTAAAAACCTGTTTTCACTTTGCCATCATGGGGTATTATGTGTAGATTGATGAGGAAAACAATGTATTTAATTAATTTTAGAATAAGGCTGTAACGTTAACAAAATGTGGAAAAAGTCAAGGGGTCTGAATACTTTCCAAATGCACTGTACACTGAAGACCCCATAAGGCTGGGTTACATTTTTCAAAAAAAGTTTCAAATATAGGCATTTAGTTTATGAAATGAGATTGCTCCTAAAATGACACCCCTGTCCACTCCTCTGAGTGAGACAAAAAAAAATCAGAACTGCTGGTGTCAAATTTATGATAAAAGAGTGTGGGTACTCCCAGGGCTGTTGCGGTGACCGTATTACCGCCACACCGGCTGTCGCAAGTCAAATTCCACATGACTGTATAGTCACGGTAATTAGGCTTCTCCAAGCTCTGATGCTGCTGATGGTCATTAGTAGCCTACCAAACTTGCTAACTGCCTGGTACTCAGCACTCTATTGTCCCTGTAATCACTCGGACATCAATGCAAATGTGATATAAAAATCGAATCAAACACTTAATGAGAGCCCATGAGCTCCTGTTGCGCAACATTTCTATGCAATTGCGAGAGAAAACAGTGATGGCCTCTATTAAAAAGAGGAGGATCCCATCAGCTTTCTATAGGCTAGGCCTACTATATTTATTTCTCAACATTCCAAATATTAATCACATTGCTTTTGTTTACAACAGGAGTATAGCCTACCTGGCTGGCATGAAAATGAACCACGGGAAGCGCGTCCTCCATTCGCTATTTAAGTGCATAGATGACATGTATTTTTTCTCCTGCCCCTGTTTCGAGACAGGTGATGATAATGGTCCATTCTAAATCAAAACAAATTTCACACATATATTATTTAGTATATGTAAAGACAAGATTAATTCAAGAATAGTCTGATGGGTAACAATATTAGACTATCACTAATATTGCAAGAAACAATCCCTTTTTTGTGTGATTTTTTCTAATCATAGTCGCACACCTCATGTAGCCTAGCCCATAGGCCTATATGTTTTGATAAGGTTTGTATCACAACTAAAGTGGCCAAATAACTTCTTAAAATTAAGCACATTAATCCGCTTTACAAGGAGTGTAGAGCCTAACTGGCATACATAAGCAGCACGTGAGTTTCAAGTTTGGGGAAGATCATTTTCACCATAAAAATGCACCTTTATCATAAAAGCATTACATGCATAATCGCATTTGCGGTCACTTTTGAGAATGGTGTTTTACCGCTAATGGAACATTCGCGCTTATAGCCTACTGCCGTGTGCGCATTGCTGCACTGATAATGTGAAGAAATAACCTAATAGTTTATCACATTTTAAGCTAAATGTTCTGATCTGTTGCGTCAGCCTCATTGTGTAAAAACGTTTTTGGGATGCTAGTGGTTATATTAATTTGGGATCATTCGCATCCCACAACTGTCCCAGACTATGTTTGGAATATTTATTTATTCCACAGAATAGAATAGGTCAACTTTTGCACTATGGGGGATAGTAGATTGACATAGGCTAGTGCTTTTGCTGTTCGTTAGGCCGACTCATCTTGTTGGCTGATGTAAAGTAAATGTGGGCAGTTCTTCCAATATCCTCAATATGCACCTCGGAATTAGATAAGGACACACACAGTTGTGTCCCCGAAGTGTCTGTCTTCACTTGTAGCCTGTGAGGAAAAACCTGATCACTTGATGGAGAGCCATGTGAGTGAGAGGTGCTTCGGGGCGCGCAGCACTCAGGGAGAAGGGCACAACGGGTACTGGCCGCAAAAGGCAAGGCATTTTTGAGGGTGCGTTTAGGCCACACAAAGGGGATGCCCCCGGGAAATTCAAGGCATTATCAAGTGATTGTCAAATTGTGAATGAGAGACTGAAGAAGTGTCTACAGCCTGCGCAAAAAAAACTAAGCAGAGCACATGCCTTTCAAACTACTTTTTTGCAGCCTTACAATGTATTAAAAATCAAAACATATAGCCCAACATTTGTAGAACAACTAAAGTTACATTAATAACTCTAAATTAAGCATATAGGAGTACCTATTTGTTTGTCAACCACTCAACACTGAATAGTCACATGTGTGCACCCCTCAAATCGTTCAGAGAAAATATCCTTTCTATTTTATTCAGCTTTGTTCAATTGCATTCTTCATACTATAAAATAATATAAAACCAAATCTTGTCTGCTAAATGAACTAGTGTAGCCCACAGCCATATGGCATAGCCAGAGTATGTTATTCTGTTCTTCTAGACGACATTTTCTTCACATCATGTTTCTTTAGACCTGTCTAAAATAAATAATGGATTTATTGTGAAGGTGTAGGCTATATTACATGGATTTATTAGAATTTTTAAAATGTCGACATTCCAAAGGTCTGCATCAGTGGCTTGTAGGCAATGTTAATTAATGGTCAATTACCGTGAGAACGACAGTTATTTGCTTGGCAATCACCGACTGACGAAATGTCATAACCGCCACAGCCCTAGGTACTCACAACTTATCTGATCTCTTACACAAGAGTTGTCAAACCTTTTCTATTAGTAAAACAAATTGGTGTGAAAACTACATTAAAAAAATAAGTAAAAGTGTTTTGACACACAATTTCAGCACCTTGTATCCTTAAAATGTTATTTCATAATTGACAATAAATTAAAATGAAGTAACAAACAAAAGTTCTCTCACTCAAAAGAGCATGGTCATCACCACTGGCTCACGGAATTGTCCCAGTTAGAAACACACTACATCTAGTGTTGAAGTCGCAGATTATTTGTTCAAGCCCAGCAATAACACAACCTGATTCAAGTAATCAAGGGTTGATGATTATTAGAGGAGTTGAAGCAGGTGTGTTAGTGAACTGGTAACCTGGTATGGGGCATTTTAAAGGGAAGTCTAAAATAAACACCTTTAGACCACTAACAATTACAGGACAGCGCTGCAAAACAACATAAAACCATTTGGTTAAATAACGCCTTGTCTTCTCACAATTTAGAACGTTCACAAAACTCTCTGTGTTCTAAAACAGTGACATCATCATTTTTCAGTGTTCTATCAGCCACAAGTCCACAGAGATTCCGAAGGGGATGACATCACTGGTATCCATGGGCTTGGTTACTGTACACTGTCCATTTGGGATCATCCAATGTGTAGATAGCTAGTACTACTCAGGGTTAGGGTCTGTATCAAGGCAGTGTCACTGAAGGCAGTAAAGTGTCTTTATGCGTGTCCAGGTAATGTAAAGTTGTTGTTACGTTCACTACAAGGGAGGAACAGGAACAGGAGGGAGCCCCAGTCCTTCAGACTGCTTAAGATGGTGGTGGTGGAGCTCAGCTTTACAGATGGTTGACATGGCGCAGCGCAGAGAGCTGACAGCAGGGGGCTCCTCATCACCTGGAGACACACAAGATGAAGAGATATTCAGCAACTTTTGGAGGCACAACAAACATATTTCAACACAAATTACGTGACGTTAGCAACAGGCCATGGCCAGATGTAAAATACAGTGTAGTTTTAGCACAGCTGTTTCAACCAATCAAGGGCTTGATGATTAGTTGAACATGTTGATTCAGATGTGCTAGTGGTGAAACAGAGAAAGGGGTGGGAATTAGTGACTTTTTTCAATTTCCACCCCTGAATACTCCCAGTCGGTATTAGACAGAACGTCACGGCCCCCACCCGCCTGTGGGGAAAACAACCTTTTTCAAACCCTTTTTTTGTTGTCTGCTTGTTTCAGTCAATTACAAAACTACATTTAAGAAAAGTACAACACGTCTAAAGATTACTTTTCAACATTGCCTGCTCCCGAATGTTCTCACTACATAATATTGTAGGGCTTACCCCTTTTCATGACAGTGCTAGAAGCCACGTTAGTGAGTGAGGCTCCATTTCCCTACATGGGAGCGTTGCAAACCGTAGGTCGGGATTTTTGACCTAGTTACTTATAATATAAAATAATAAAATGCCATTTAGCAGACGCTTTTATCCAAAGCGACTTACAGTCATGCGTGCATACATTTATTTTTATTTTTTTTTGAGTATGGGTGGTCCCGGGGATCGAACCCACTACCTTGGCGTTACAAGCGCCGTGCTCTACCAGCTGAGCTACAGAGGACCATTGAACAACAAAACAGCTTTTCAGCATGTTTTGTTTTTTATTTTACAATGGGGGTCAATGGGAAATAATGTTTGTTTTCCCCAATTTGTGGGTGTGGTCGAAGGGAATTGCTTCTTATGAATATGGACACAGTGTATAAAACAATTCTGTGAAACGACCAGGAGTCCCTCAGGAGTGGATTGCGAAACTCTGGTATGATGTCAGTCTGACTCATCTGACTGAATAATCTCCGATTCAAATTAGATGACTCATTGTCAATCTGACCCATGGTTAATTATCAGTCCTGTTGTATTTGAATGTGAAAATGTCATACAACATAATTTAGGAATTTTTAGGCAATGGGCTTTAAATCTGACTCATTCGCAATCTGATTTATGATTCATGACCACATATGGAAATTATGGTTCATGACTACTTGTATGTGAAAATGTCATACAACATACTTTTAGGCATTTTTAGTCATTGGTCTCTTACCCAGTCCGGAAGAAGATGATTCGCTTTCGGCCAGAGAGGAGGAGTCAGCCTGGTCAGGTGACAGGCCCTCCATGAGGGGGATGGACAACTCAGAGGAAGGCACTGACGAATCATAGATCCCCGAATCCCTGGGCATTTCGGGAGGACTGGCCGAGCCGTCCCCAGCCTGGAGCGGGACCACAGGCCTCAGAGACCTCAGACCCAGAGGACCCATACCAGATGAGGCCCCCGACAGCCCCCCGATCTCCCCCTGAGAGAGGCTGGAGCTGGGCCCAGGCCCCACAGGTCCGTCCAGGGAGCAGTGGGCCAGACCGAGGTTGGGGGGGGGAGACGTGAGTAGCACATTCCTCTTCAGAGTACCCTCACTTTCTGATGGCAACTTAAACAGAACCTCGTTGAGCACCAGCCCAGAGTCAAACTTCTCCATGTGAGGTGATGATGATGATGATGAAGATGCTCCAGCAGCATCACGCTGCTTCGGAGGCGGGGCTGGGGGGGCGGGCATCAGCTGCCTCTCGAACCAATCAGGCTCCAGTGAAATGTGCTGGTGCATGTTACAGATGGCTACGTATAGAGACCGCCCTGACTTGCTCCTGAAGTAGTTCCTCTTGCTGATGTTGAGCGGCTGCGATTCGCGCTCCGGTAAACTGAGCTGTCGGGAGTGGAGGCGGCTGAACATCTGAGGGAGCTGGTCCATGAGCTTGAACTTCGGAGCCAGGCTCAGGACGGTCGGGACGTCGCTCTCGTGGGAGTAGTCGAAGTAGACGGCCATGAAGCGAGACAGGTCCTGGTCTTTCTGGCACCCCTCGCGAAGCTTCTCTGCGATCATTGCCACGGCGACGATGAAGAGCTCTGCTCCGTTGGCTGCTGCCGCTGCTGCTCCACCATCTGCACCAAGAGAAACCCAGTGGACATAAAGTCAGTGGCTTTGTGTTATCCTTACATTTTGGTCATTTAGCAGAAGATCCAAAGCATTGTTGGGGGTAACGCGTTATATATAACGTGTTAAGAGTATTCAGATGACTATTTTGTGGTAATGAGTAACCTAACACATTAGTTTGTCAATTTAAGTAATCAGTTACTTTGTTACTTTTACAATATTATTTCCCTTTTTCTTTGTTGACGCATATTTAAAATGAAACCCCCCCCCCCCCCCCCCCGGCTACGTCTGTTGCGCTCTTCACGTTTCTGCATGAACATTGTGGCGGGTAGTTGGCATGGTAGCTGGCATGGTAGCTGGTAGATAGCTAGCGAGATGGCAGAGACAATAGCCTTTATCGTGGAAGTATTCGCATTACTTTGAATTGGTAGAGAAAAAGTACAGATGTTACTTGACTGACGATACTTGCAGGATTCACGCGCAAACACAGGATCATCGGGTTCAGGTGAGTGCCCCATTTACTGTCTGGTAATGAAGCAAACAACTTAGTTAGGTGATCAAGTTATGCTCAATTGATAAGAACAGACATTTCTCCAGCTCCTTCTTCACGATAAATATAAAGAAAAGGACAATTACACAAATAGTTTTAGATCTCTCTGGCCAGTTCATATATGTGTAAAACAGATTGGTAGCCAGTTGTATTTGAGCTCTCTTTTTACTGGGCCAGTTGGTTTGCATATGTATTTACTCATGTGTAAATAATTCAACAAAATCATTTATATTAAGTATTGTAAAGGAGATATTACATCTGTCATTAGTCCTTGAGTTGGTATAGCCCAGAGTTATAGATTAGGCTACGGGCAGTAAGCTATAATGCAAGCCATTCAAAGGTAGGGTGCGCCCTCTACTGGGCATAAGAATGAATGACCAACACGAGCAAGGCATCTTCAGAGGGTTTTCTGTGTTTGGTAACGCAAAAGTAATGTAACAAGTTACAATGTTCCTTACTATGGAAAGTAACAAATTACTTTTAAAAGTAACGTTCCCCAACACTGATCCTGAGCGATTTACAGTCAGTGCATTTAACTAGGGTAGGTAAAACAGGTAGCGGCAGGTAGCCTAGCGGTTAAGAGCGGTTAAGAGCAAATCCCTGAGGGGCAAGGTGAAAAAGTCTTGAGCAAGGCAGTTAACCCCCAACAACATCAACAACTGCTCCCCGGGCGCCGATGACGTGGACATCGATTAAGGCAGCCCCCAGCACCTCTCTGATTCAGAGGAGTTGGGTTAAATGCCGAAGACACATTTCGGTTGAATGCATTCAGTTGAGCAACTGACCAGGTATCCCCTTTCCCTAAAACATCCAAAACGTGCAATGAAATGTATGAACTGGCTGTATATATTTTTTTTTAAACTGAAATGAATTCAATCAATTAAATTAAACCAATCAACCACCTCCAGGGCTAGTTCTGACTGGTGATTTCCCCCTGCGGCTCTTCTTCTCTACGTAGTACTTGAGGCCCTTGGAGCAGACAGTGATGATGTAGTGAGCCTCGTCTATCTGCCGGCTCAGCCAGGTCATCTGCCCCTCCTTACAGATCTGCAGGTGCTCCCACAGGTCCAGAGTCACCTAAGACACAACACAGAGGATCACAGAGGTATGAGGAGGTGTTATAACATCACCTCTAGGAATAATTCAACCACAGACAGCAATAGTCAGGCAACGATTGCATATTAATATCATTATCATTATTATGGATTATTATTAGAGAATACTAAACTATTCTTGAGTATGTACTGAGAAATTCCTCTACTACTAGTAGTATTTCCACTACTAGCCAGCAGGTGACACACAACACACATCCCATACATTCAAGCTTCTGCCATGTAGTCAGATCACATTCAATTCCCTGGCCTGAGCCAACCCGCAGTCAACCCTTAATAGAGCTAAACTAAGGAGCTATAATCTAGATAAGGTCTTTTGTGCTCGAATGAGCATTATTTCTGAAGCTTAGTGCCTACCTCACAGCCACAGAAGTCCTGGAGGAAGAAGGCAAAGCTCTGTATGACAGCGAGGTGTTTGGGGCAGTCCTTAGTGGAATAGCAGACAAACACCTTGGTCCGGGGCCAGGGCCTGTCTGCATTCAGAGCTGTGGTGTGGGACGACGACTCAGAGCTCTCCTCGTCCAGATGGGAGTAGATGTTCTCTAGATAGATAAGATAGATAGATGGATAATATATGAATTAAACATTAATTCCATATAGAGGGTCGAAGGGAAATGCATCGACACAGTGGCACTGGCCTATTCTACTAAAGGTCTCCTGATGTTTGTAAATGTTGGAATAATTTAAAAGGTAAGACTCAGTAAACAGACGGAATGGAGAATGAATGTAAAATGACGTGTAGTAATATGAAGAAAAAAAAATGATAAAGGAACGTACCTTGTTGTTTCTTGCGGCACACGATGGTGAAGAGTGTAGCGAAGGCGGAGATGATGACCAGAGGAACAGTGATGGCCATGGCTCTGATAGGACCAGCCCACGGGGACTGGGCTGGAAATTATAGTAGAAATTAGACTAAATAAATTAGAAGACATCTCATGAATCCCACTTAGAGCTTGCTTTTAATTCTACAAAGTATACATACTACTTTAATACTTTTAAAGGTTGCAGAGAACACTCGAGACGTCTTAGGTGATAACAATGTCCTCCAGTCATCCGTGCTCATGTAATGTAATGAGAGTCTAGTAAAAATAAGTTGTTGGTCCACAGAGAAGTGTGAGGCTGTGATGGTATCTAGTGTGTTGGTCCAGAGGCTCACCTTGGCTCACATGGTACTGGGCCTGTCCCCTGGTGGTGTTGGTGTCGTCTCTCAGCTGCAGGACAAAAGACGTCAGTAAATATGAGTCAGCTGAGATGCAGGGTTTCTTTATGGTTTAGATGAGTATTTCCATAATCTTTCTTAAGTGTGATTGTATAATAATCATAATATGCCATAGTCACAACCACTAGAGAATACTGCAGTAGTGGGAGGTGAGAATCTTAACCTCAATTGCATAGGTTCCTGGTATCACATCTTGAAGAACACATGTTGTTTTGGGCAGATTCAACTCCTGTACAAAAAGAGAGTAAAGAAGTGCATGATTATCAATGATCAACCATGTTCAACAGCAGCTAAATCTTCCTCCTGAAGGGATATGTGTACATGTTACCGACTAAATCAATGCTGTTTCTGTGGTGATAAAATCTTCACGTTGAATTTGGTACAGAGCTGAGGAATCTTCGGCATTTCTGACTACGGCTTTAGAATACTGACAGACAGATAGTTTCTTTCCACCTCATGTCCAAATAATCCCATTGTTGATGATATAAGCAGATCCTGTTTCAAACCACAGTGAGAGAGGGGACTTGATGAAACTAGCTAGGGGGGTTTTGGCTTTTCTGCTTTCGTCATTGTTCACAGGCAGAACAACTGTAGGACAGGGCCAATAGAGGACTTGACTGGAGGAGGAAGGGGGGAGATTACATGTTTTATCTTTCTCTCTCCAACTAAAACAATGCAACCTGGAACCAAAGTGATTTCTGTTCTGGCAACATGAGAGAGAAAGCCTCTACTCTCCCCCAGCCCTGAGTAATGACACTCTGTTCTGCTGCTGGAAAAGTCTTCAGGACCTCAGAGTGGCTCTGACCAGACCTGGTACTCCAAGAGGTTAAATCAAACAGAGAGAGAGAGAGAAACAGAGAGAGACAGACAGACAGACAGACAGACAGACAGACCGAGAGAAGAGAGAGAGAAAGAGAGGAGGGGAGAAGAGGAGAGGAGAGAGAGAGAAGAGAGAGAGAGAAAAGAAAAAGGAGACAGAGAGACGAAACAGAGAAAGGGAGAAAGGAAGAGAGAAAACGAAGGAGACGGAGAGGAGAGACAAAGAAAAACAGGATAGAAGAAAACAGGAGACAGAGAGAAGAGAAGAGAGGAAGGGGGGGAAAAACAGAAGAAGGGGCGAAAAGAAAGAGAAAGAGAAAAAAGAAGGGGAAACAAGAGAAGAGGGGAAAAGAGAGAGCGGAGAGAGACAAGAGAGAAAAGAGAAAAAAAAGAGAAAAATTAAAAAACAAAAGAAACCAGAAGAGAGCGAAGAGAAGAACGGAGAGAGAAAAGGAGGAAAGAAGAAAAAAGGACAAGAGCAGAGAGACAAGAACAGAGAAGAGAGAATAAAGGAGAGAAAAAGGACAAGAACGAAACAGAAAAGAGGAAGGAGAGAAGAAAAAAAAAAATAAGAGAGAGAAGAGACAAAAAAACAAAAGGAAAGAAAAAAAAAGAAAAAAAAGAAGAAAAAAGAAAAAACGAAGAAAAAAAAAGAAAGGAAAAGAAAAATATGAAATTAAAGGGGGAAAAAGAAAAAGAAAGGGAATATAAAAATTTAAGGGAAAACAAAAAAGAGAAAAGAAAAGAGGAAAAGAAAAAGGGGAACAAACAAAAAAAAAAAAACGAAACAGAAAAAAAAAAAAAAACAGAAAACAAAAAGAGCAAAAAAAAAAAAAAACAAAAAAAAAAAACAAAAGAAAAAGGAGAAATAGAAAAAAAAAAAAAAATAAAAAACAAAATTACCAAGGGGAAAACGAGAACAAAAAAAGAAAAAAAAAAACAAAACGAAAAAAAAAAAAAGAAGAAAAAAAAAGAAAAAAAAAAAAAAAGAAAAAAAAAAACAAGAAAAAACAAAAAAAGAAAAAAAAAACAAAAAAAAAAAAAAACAAAAAAAAAAAAAAAAAAAAAAAAAAGGGGAAAAAAACATAGAGATAATACATATACATATAACAGTATAATTTTTTTATATAATAGTAGATAGATATAGATATAAAATAAATAATATAAGAAAATATAATAAATAACTATATATATATACATATATATATACATATACTATACATATATATAATAAATAATAATAGATAGAGAATTACATATATATAGAATACATATAATACTTATATAATATATATATATATTAAGTCTATATATACCTATAAAACACTATATATATATACATAAAATACAGAGAGAGAGACATATAAATACATATAGTAGACAGATAAAGACAATAGAGAGAGATATAAGAGAGAGAGATAGATTATGCTTGGATATTCGTCAACAACCTTGTTAAAATCCTCTGCTTATCATTAACAGCAGACTAGTTCATTCCTCAGTTGAAAACAATGTACTGAGCAAATGTCAAATTGGCTTTTTACCAAATTACCGTACGACAGACCACGTATTCACCCTGCATATCCTAATTGACAAACAAACAAACCAAAACAAAGGCAAAGTCTTCTCATGCTTTGTTGATTTCAAAAAAGCTTTTGACTCAATTTGGCATGAGGGTCTGCTATACAAATTGATGGAAAGTGGGGTTGGGGGAAAAACATACGACATTATAGAATCCATGTACACAAACAACAAGTGTGCGGTTAAAATTGACAAAAAACACACACATTTCTTTCCACAGGGCCGTGGGGTGAGACAGGGATGCAGTTTAAGCCCCACCCTCTTCAACATGTATATCAACGAATTGGCGAGGGCACTAGAACAGTCTGCAGCACCCGGCCTCACCCTACTAGAATCTGAAGTCAAATGTCTTCTGTTTGCTGATGATCTGGTGCTTCTGTCACCAACCAAGGAGGGCCTACAGCAGCACCTAGATCTTCTGCACAGATTCTGTCAGACCTGGGCCCTGACAGTAAATCTCAGTAAGACAAAAATAATGGTGTTCCAAAAAAGGTCCAGTTGCCAGGACCACAAATACAAATTCCATCTAGACACCGTTGCCCTAGAGCACACAAAAAACGATACATACGTCGGCCTAAACATCAGCGCCACAGGTAACTTCCACAAAGCTGTGAACGATCTGAGAGACAAGGCAAGAAGGGCCTTCTATGCCATCAAAAGGAACATAAAATTTGACATACCAATTAGGATCTGGCTAAAAATACTTGACTCAGTTATAGAACCCATTGCCCTTTATGGTTGTGAGGTCTGGGGTCCGCTCACCAACCAAGAATTCACAAAATGGGACAAACACCAAATTGAGACTCTGCATGCAGAATTCTGCAAAAACATCCTCCGTGTACAACGTAAAACACCAAATAATGCATGCAGAGCAGAATTTGGCCAATACCCGCTAATTATCAAAATCCAGAAAAGAGCCGTTAAATTATATAACCACTTAAAAGGAAGCGATTCCCAAACCTTCCATAACAAAGCCATCACCTACAGAGAGATGAACTTGGAGAAGAGTCCCCTAAGTAAGCTGGTCCTGGGGCTCTGTTCACAAACACAAACAGACCCCACACAGCCCCAGAACAACAACAACAACAACAACACAATTACATCCAAACAAATCATGAGAAAACAAAAAGAGAATTACTTGACACATGGGAAAGAACAAACAAAAAAACAGAGCAAACTAGAATGCTCTTTGGCCCTAAACAGAGAGTACACAGTGGCAGAATACCTGACCACTGTGACTGACCCAAACTTAAGGAAAGCTTTGACTATGTACAGACTCAGTGAGCATAGCCTTGCTATTGAGAAAGGCCGCCGTAGGCAGACCTGGCTCTCAAGAGAAGACAGGCTATGTGCACACTGCCCACGAAATGAGGTGGAAAATGAGCTGCACTTCCTAACCTCCTGCCAAATGTATGACCATATTAGAGACACATATTTCCCTCATATTACAGCGATCCACAAAGAATTAGAAAACAAACCCAATTTTGATAAACTCCCTTATCTACTGGGTGAAAAACCACAGTGTGCCATCACAGCTGCAAGATTTGTGACCTGTTGCCACAAGAAAAGGGCAACCAGTGAAGAACAAACACCATTGTAAATACAACCCATATTTACAGTGGGGAAAAAAAGTATTTAGTCAGCCACCAATTGTGCAAGTTCTCCCACTTAAAAAGATGAGAGAGGCCTGTAATTTTCATCATAGGTACACGTCAACTATGACAGACAAATTAAGAAACAAAAATCCAGAAAATCACATTGTAGGATTTTTAATGAATTTATTTGCAAATTATGGTGGAAAATAAGTATTTGGTCACCTACAAACAAGCAAGATTTCTGGCTCTCACAGACCTGTAACTTCTTCTTTAAGAGGCTCCTCTGTCCTCCACTCGTTACCTGTATTAATGGCACCTGTTTGAACTTGTTATCAGTATAAAAGACACCTGTCCACAACCTCAAACAGTCACACTCCAAACTCCACTATGGCCGAGACCAAAGAGCTGTCAAAGGACACCAGAAACAAAATTGTAGACCTGCACCAGGCTGGGAAGACTGAATCTGCAATAGGTAAGCAGCTTGTGAAAACCTTGTGAAGACTTACAGAAAACGTTTGACCTGTGTCATTGCCAACAAAGGGTATATAACAAAGTATTGAGAAACTTTTGTTATTGACCAAATACTTATTTTCCACCATAACTTGCAAATAAATTCATTAAAAATCCTACAATGTGACTTTCTGGAAAAACAATTCTCATTTTGTCTGTCATAGTTGACGTGTACCTATGATGAAAATTACAGGCCTCTCTCATCTTTTTAAGTGGGAGAACTTGCACAATTGGTGGCTGACTAAATACTTTTTTTCCCCACTGTATGTTGATTTATTTTCCCATTTGTACTTTAACTCTTTGCACATTGTTACAACACTGTATATATACATAATATGACATTTGAAATGTCCTTATTCTTTTGAAACTTCTGAGTGTAATGTTTACTGTTAATATTTATTGTTTATTTCACTTTTGTTTACTATCTACTTCACTTGCTTTGGCAATGTTAACATACGTTTCCCATGCCAATAAAGCCCTTAAATTGAATTGAATTGAGAAAGAGACAGAGAGAGTGAGAGAAAGAGAAAGAGAGAGACAGAGAGAGCGAGAGAAAGAGCGCGAGAGGAAAGTATGATAAGTCCATGGATGTCTCCCAGGAGGCCATAGGTTGTCAGAGAGAAAGAGGCCCAGCTGGCAGAGGCCTGGTAGAAGAGGCCAAGGCCAAGGCAGCAGACACGTCTACTTACCGTAACCATACTACATCCTCCTCAGTGTCTGGGAAACACATTAGGAGCAGTATTCATAAAGAGTTTCAGAGTAGGAGTGCTGATCTAGGACCAGGTCCTCCCTGTCCATATTATTTAGTTCATTTTGATCTAGGGCAGGCATCAGGCAAAACTAATCCTAGATCATCAGCATTTCTACTCTGATAAGCTTGATAAATACAGGCTAAGATGCAGCTCATCATTGCTTATAAGGCCCTGAGAGAGACAGAGAGAGACAGAGAGCGAGAGAAACAGAGAGAGAGCGAGAGAAACAGAGAGAGAGAGCGAGAGACAGAGAGAGAGAGAGACAGAGAGACAGAGAGAGACAGAGACAGAGAGAGACAGAGAGAGACAGAGACAGAAAGACAGAGACAGAGAGAGAGACAGAGAGAGACAGAGAGAGAGAGAGAGAGAGAGAGAGACAGAGACAGATCTCCAAAAATTCCAAATAGAGGAGCAGCTGCTGAAAAGATGAGCTCCTACAAATATTGAAATTTGATATGGTTTTTAGAGTGAAGTACATCGGGAAAAAACTAAAGAAAACTGCAAGACTGAATAAGAGACAAAACAAGCAACAAACAAAGAAGAAAGGCTTTTGAAAAAGTAACAATTTTTCATAAAATTGTACAGTTATCTTAGCTAGCTGAATTGTTTACCAGTTGCTAAACAGTTGCTAGGGACTCTCCTGGAAGAAGCTAGCTAGCTAACAAATAATATCTAGTTAACAGAAGAAAAGAAAGACAAAATAAGACAAAATAAGGACAGAAGACAAAGGACATCAAAGTAAAACAGTCCTCTAAAAGACACAAGAGAGAATAATACAAGAAACAACGCTTCTATTGCAACATTGTGTACAGCGTTGCTATGGAAATTGTTTACCCACCAGACATCCAGACTGAGAAAGCTAAGAAAAGTTCCAAAGGTTTGATGATGGGACAGAACCATGAATGCCTGTTTGCAGATCTTACCAGTTGCAAAACAAGAGCAAATTTAATATTTAATACCAAACGAGGGCACATATGGAAAAGGGTTACTTGCAACAATTTCCCTTTCTCAAAAAAGAGAGGCATCAGCCAAGGATGTCAGATCAGCATTTTTGAAGAAGCTGACCAGAGCAACACGTATCAAACAGTAAACTTATATAATAATGGAACTGTATTGATACAAGGCAATGATTCAATCCTCCAGGGTTTTGAGAATATGTTTGCTACCCTAAAAGCAGAAACTGAAGAAAAAGTCAAGGAGGGAGATGGAGAAAAGCAGGCCCCAACGGTCTCTGTGACCCAGCAAGAAGCCCTCAGTGTCCCTCTACCTACCTCACCTGCAGCAGACAAAGCCAAGGACATGCCTACAACACCAAGAACACCTGCTATGCAACGTTTCCACAACACCCTCTCTCTCGTCGAAGCAGAGGTCATAGAACTCAGAGAGAACAAGCTTCAAGAGGAGGACACTGTCCAGAAACGAAAAGAAGAGATGAAACAGTTCAGGGAGGAGAGCAGAGCATCTATTGCTAAATTAGAAAGCAGAATGGACAAACTGAGTCAGACAAATGATGACCTCAGAGACCATCTGAGCACAACAAGAAAGGAGCTAGAACAAAGAGAGAGGTACATTGACACCCTCAACCAGCAGCTAGTCAATATGTCCTCTGCATCTAGAGAATATGTCCACCAGCCTGGTACAACACCAGCAGAACCTGAGACCAGCATGGCCTCCACCACACAGCCTGATGACACTGCACCCGCCTACCAGTCTGCTCCAGCCCAGGTCAGCCAACCAGCGTCCCAGTCTGCTCTAGCCCAGGTCAGCCAACCAGCCACCCAGTCTGCTCTAGCCCAGGTCAGCCTACCTGCTTCCCAGTCTGCTCCAGCACAGTGTGCTCCAGCCCAGGTCAGCCAACCAGCGTCCCAGTCTGCTCCAGCCCAGGTCAGCCAACCAGCCTCTCAGTCTGCTCCAGCCCAGGTCAACCTACCAGCCTCTCAGTCTGCTCCAGCCCAGGTCAACCTACCAGCCTCTCAGTCTGCTCCAGCCCAGGTCAACCTACCAGCCTCTCAGTCTGCTCCAGCCCAGGTCAGCCAACCAGCCACCCAGTCTGCTCCAGCCCAGGTCAGCCAACCAGCCTCCCAGTCTGCTCCAGCCCAGGTCAGAATACCAGTCTCCCAGTCTGCTCCACCCAGACAGTCACCCACAACTGCATTCCTTATTGATTCAAATGGGAAGTTCTTAGTCCAGGAAAGATTATTCCCTAGACACCAGGTGTATAAGTTCTGGTGTCCTACAATTGACAGTGCAATGCAGATACTCAGTCAGACCAGGATTGACACCCCGGACAACATCATCATCCACACTGGCACAAACGACCTTCATGCCAAAGGTGAAAATGTATCTGGGGCAGTGAGAAGAGTGGCAGAACGGGCACAGGCTAGGTTCCCAACAACCAATATAGTTGTGTCCACCCTCCTACCAAGAAAATACTTCCCAGGAAAGTTGATTGAAAAAATAAAATCAACAGATCACTGTGGACTGTGCCTCACTGCTCAACGTCAGAACGGCTCACCACCCCACTCTGACATGTGAACACGTATACGATAATGTACATCTTGATCAGGACAGTATCAGAACCTTTGCCAAGGACCTAAAGGATGCAACACTTGGCAGGGACCCACACACCCATCACCCCAGCAACAGAGCCCCCCGCTCCACCTTCTGAAACAACAGTACCCCCACCATCCCCAAGAGAGAATAGCCAGACACGACTTATTACAGCACAGCTCTACAAGACCAGGCCTAACACAGCACAGATTTACCAGACCAGACCCGCCTCAGGACAGCACGACCAGACCCGTCCCATCACAACACAGCTCTACTAGACCAGGCCCATCACAACACAGCTCTACTAGACCCGGCCCATCACAACACAGTTCTACTAGACCCGGCCCATCATAACACAGCTCTACTAGACCCGGCCCATCACAACACAGTTCTACTAGACCCGGCCCATCACAACACAGTTCTACTAGACCCGGCCCATCACAACACAGCTCTACTAGACCAGGCCCATCACAGCTCTACTAGACCCGGCCCATCACAACACAGTTCTACTAGAACAGGCCCATCACAACACAGTTCTACTAGACCAGGCCCATCACAACACAGTTCTACTAGACCCGACCCATCACAACACAGTTCTACTAGACCCGGCCCATCACAACACAGTTCTACTAGACCAGGCCCATCACAACACAGTTCTACTAGACCAGGCCCATCACAACACAGTTCTACTAGACCCGACCCATCACAACACAGTTCTACTAGACCCGGCCCATCACAACACAGCTCTACTAGACCAGGCCCATCACAACACAGTTCTACTAGACCCGGCCCATCACAACACAGCTCTACTAGACCCGGCCCATCACAACACAGTTCTACTAGACCAGGCCCATCACAACACAGTTCTACTAGACCAGGCCCATCACAACACAGTTCTACTAGACCCGACCCATCACAACACAGTTCTACTAGACCCGGCCCATCACAACACAGCTCTACTAGACCCGGCCCATCACAACACAGTTCTACTAGACCCGGCCCATCACAACACAGCTCTACTAGACCCGGCCCATCACAACACAGCTCTACTAGACCCGGCCCATCATAACACAGTTCTACTGGACCTGGCCCATCACAACACAGCTCTACCAGACCCGGCCCATCACAACACAGCTCTACTAGACCCGGCCCATCACAACACAGTTCTACTGGACCATCACAACACAGTTCTACTGGACCTGGCCCATCACTGACCACTACTCCAGGGTTGGGCAGAACACAGTCCTTCAGAGAAGTACACCACATGATGCAGTCCACACCATGTATCATTCAGATCATCAGCCTACATATGCTGAGGTAACCTCTGGCAAAAAATACCTAGAACAATCAGAGATAGAGGAGGTGCGCCAACTACTGCATCTAATATGCAGACTACTGGGCTAGACAGACCCTTTAATTCACGCAAACGTGCACGTGCACACGCATGCGCGCACACACGCACACACAAACACACACACTGCATTGTACTTATTTTTTGGGCCATTCTTATTAATTTGTTTACAACTATCCTTTATTTTATTGGCACTGGTATTATAATAATATATATATGTATGTGTATATGTGTATATGTATGTATGTATATATATATATGTATGTTTGTATGTGTATATATATATGTGTATATGTATGTATGTATGTATGTATACAGTGAGGGAAAAAAGTATTTGATCCCCTGCTGATTTTGTACGTTTGCCCACTGACAAAGAAATGATCAGTCTATAATTTTAATGGTAGGTTTATTTGAACAGTGAGAGATAGAATAACAACAACAAAATCCAGAAAAACGCATGTCAAAAACGTTATACATTTATTTGCATTTTAATGAGGGAAATAAGTATTTGACCCCCTCTCAATCAGAAAGATTTCTGGCTCCCAGGTGTCTTTTATACAGGTAACGAGCTGAGATTAGGAGCACACTCTTAAAGGGAGTGCTCCTAATCTCAGCTTGTTACCTGTATAAAAGACACCTGTCCACAGAAGCAATCAATCAATCAGATTCCAAACTCTCCACCATGGCCATGACAAAGAGCTCTCCAAGGATGTCAGGGACAAGATTGTAGACCTACACAAGGCTGGAATGGGCTAAAAGACCATCGCCAAGCAGCTTGGTGAGAAGGTGACAACAGTTGGTGCGATTATTCGCAAATGGAAGAAACACAAAATAACTGTCAATCTCCCTCGGCCTGGGGCTCCATGCAAGACTCACCTCGTGGAGTTGCAATGATCATGAGAACGTTGAGGAATCAGCCCAGAACTACACGGGAGGTTCTTGTCAATGATCTCAAGGCAGCTGGGACCATAGTCACCAAGAAAACAATTGGTAACACACTACGCCATGAAGGACTGAAATCCTGCAGCGCCCGCAAGGTCCCCCTGCTCAAGAAAGCACATATACAGGCCCATCTGAAGTTTGCCAATGAACATCTGAATGAACTCGCTGTGTTTGGAGGAGGAGGAATGCTGCCTATGACCCCAAGAACACCACCCCCACCGTCAAACATGGAGGTGGAAATTATGCTTTGGGGGTGTTTTTCTGCTAAGGGGACAGGACAACTTCTCCGCATCAAAGGGACGATGGACGGCGCCATGTACCGTCAAATCTTGGGTGAGAACCTCCTTCCCTCAGCCAGGGCATTGAAAATGGGTAGTGGATGGGTATTCCAGCATGACAATGACACAAAACACACGGCCAAGGCAACAAAGGAGTGGCTCAAGAAGAAGCACATTAAGGTCCTGGAGTGGCCTAGCCAGTCTCCAGACCTTAATCCCATAGAAAATCTGTGGAGGGGGCTGAAGGTTCGAGTTGCCAAACGTCAGCCTCGAAACCTTAATGACTTGGAGAAGATCTGCAAAGAGGAGTGGGACAAAATCCCTCCTGAGATGTGTGCAAACCTGGTGGCCAACTACAAGAAACGTCTGACCTCTGTGATTGCCAACAAGGGTTTTTCCACCAAGTACTAAGTCAGGTTTTGCAGAGGGGTCAAATACTTATTTTCCTCATTAAAATGCAAATACATTTATAACATTTTTGACATGCGTTTTTCTGGATTTTTTTGTTGTTATTCTGTCTCTCACTGTTCAAATAAACCTACCATTAAAATTATAGACTGATCATGTCTTTGTCAGTGGGCAAACGTACAAAATCAGCAGGGGATCGAATACTTTTTTCCCCTCACTGTATATATATATATACACACTGCTCAAAAAAATAAAGGGAACACTTAAACAACACAATGTAACTCCAAGTCAATCACACTAATGTGAAATCAAACTGTCCACTTAGGAAGCAACACTGATTGACAATAAATGTCACATGCTGTTGTGCAAATGGAATAGACAACAGGTGGAAATTATAGGCAATTAGCAAGACACCCCCAATAAAGAAGAGGTTCTGCAGGTGGTGACCACAGACCACTTCTCAGTTCCTATGCTTCCTGGCTGATGTTTTGGTCACTTTTGAATGCTGGCGGTGCTTTCACTCTAGTGGTAGCATGAGACGGAGTCTACAACCCACACAAGTGGCTCAGGTAGTGCAGCTCATCCAGGATGGCACATCAATGCGAGCTGTGGCAAGAAGGTTTGCTGTGTCTGTCAGCGTAGTGTCCAGAGCATGGAGGCGCTACCAGGAGACAGACCAGTACATCAGGAGACGTGGAGGAGGCCGTAGGAGGGCAACAACCCAGCAGCAGGACTGCTACCTCCGCCTTTGTGCAAGGAGGAGCAGGAGGAGCACTGCCAGAGCCCTGCAAAATGACCTCCAGCAGGCCACAAATGTGCATGTGTCTGCTCAAACGATCAGAAACAGACTCCATGAGGGTGGTATGAGGGCCCAACGTCCACAGGTGGGGGTTGTGCTTACAGCCCAACACCGTGCAGGACGTTTGGCATTTGCCAGAGAACACCAAGATTGGCAAATTCGCCACTGGCGCCCAGTGCTCTTCACAGATGAAAGCAGGTTCACACTGAGCACATGTGACAGACGTGAGAGAGTCTGGAGACGCCGTGGAGAACGTTCTGCTGCCTGCAACATCCTCCAGCATGACCGGTTTGGCGGTGGGTCAGTCATGGTGTGGGGTGGCATTTCTTTGGGGGGCCGCACAGCCCTCCATGTGCTCGCCAGAGGTAGCCTGACTGCCATTAGGTACCGAGATGAGATCCTCAGACCCCTTGTGAGACCATATGCTGGTGCGGTTGGCCCTGGGTTCCTCCTAATGCAAGACAATGCTAGACCTCATGTGGCTGGAGTGTGTCAGCAGTTCCTGCAAGAGGAAGGCATTGATGCTATGGACTGGCCCTCCCGTTCCCCAGACCTGAATCCAATTGAACACATCTGGGACATCATGTCTCGCTCCATCCACCAACGCCACGTTGCACCACAGACTGTCCAGGAGTTGGCGGATGCTTTAGTCCAGGTCTGGGAGGAGATCCCTCAGGAGACCCTCCGCCACCTCATCAGGAGCATGCCCAGGCGTCATAGTGAGGTCATACAGCATAGGTCACTAACAGGCGGACCGCGGTCCGGATCCGGACCCAGAAGCCGTCCCATACGGACCCGGACCAAAACAAAAGATTATGAATTAAAACCTGACGGGGCGCTTCTATTTTAATATGCACAGCTTTTGTAGTCTTTACGGTACTCGTTTTGTGAATGAGGAAACTCACCGACCAATTGCATGTGAGTTAAGCGATCCCACGTGATACCACTCAGCCAATTAAGTCTTTGCATTCCTGGCGGTAAACATTGGGACTCTACAGTGCAGACAGATGAGAGTTTTAGAGGCAAGTTACCAAGGAAAAGAAAGTCGGATTAAAAAGATAGCGATATATGTAGAAAACAAAGGGAGCGAAAACAGACGAATGAGACGGAGAAAGGGAACGAAACAGACGAGTGAAAACAGACGAATGAGACGGAGAAAGGGAGAGATACAGACGAGTGTGCCGGAGAAAGCTGAGGAAAATACGAGTGAGAACGGAGAAAGTTGACGAAAATATGAGTGAGACGGAGAAAGGGAGCGAAACAGACGATTGAGGCAGAAAAAGGGTAACAGTTAGAGAAAATAAGGAACAAATGGCACTCTCCAAAAAAGAAAAGTGGACAATGAAAACAGAGCATTTAATCCAGAATGGACAGACTCCACCAGGATCCTGAGCAACCATCACTGCCCAACAACGTGCTCTTGAGTGTTCCCTCAGAGTCTTGGATTTTGGGTAAACACAAAAAGCCCTTTACAGATGGAGGGGTTGTCAAAGAATGCATGAGTGCAGTAGCTGAAACACTACTTGAGGGAAAACAAAAAAATGAGCTTTGGTGATAAAATAAAGCCAATTCCCATGTCAGCATCATCTGCCACAAAGAAAAGTGAAATATTAACTCAGGATGTGCTAACCCAGCTAGATGAAGCCATGCATAAGGCACCATGTGTAGGCTTAGCTGTGGATGAGTCCACTGACATATGTGACAATGCTCAGCTGTTAGTGTTTGCCAGGTTTTTCAACACAGCCCAGAAACATTCTGTGAAGACATGTTAGGTGTCACTTCCCCTTCAGACCAGTACAGAGGAGAGGATATCTACCTGGCCATTAAGGAGATGTTAACAAAAAGAGGAATAGAGACAAAACAAGTGGTTTCAATAACCACAGATGGAGCCCCTTCTATGATAGGGAAAGAAAAAGGAGCTGTAGCAAGACTGAAAGGGGACAATCCTGAGCTTTTATCTTACCATTGCATCATTCATCAATCTGTCCTCTGTGCCTCCCTGTCAGATGAGCATGCTGAGGTGATGAATACAATGATGAAATGATAAATTTTCTCAGGCATCCTCTTCCTACCAGCAATCGCATGCTTAGGGAATTCCTCAGAGAAGTTGATGCCAATGCTGATGATCTTTGCTACACAACAATGTGAGATGGCTCAGCAAAGGCAGGGTGCTAGAGCGCTTTTGGTCCATCAGGAGGGAATTAGCATATTTTTTTGGCAGAGCTAAGCAGTCAGAAGGCAACACAGTTTTTCTCTCTTTTTAGAAAATGAGAAATGGATGGATAATGTGGCCTTTTTGGTTGACATCACGTCACATCTGAATGAACTGAATTTGAGGCTACAGGGCAAGGACAATTCAATTTGT